ATCCTAGTTAGCATCTGAATGGTTGAAAATCAATTGGGGACGAAAACATTAAACCGAAAGGGTTCTTCTCGAATCCAAGACAGAGCCACAGCAGAATCGCATCAGCAAAAATACTTTCCAACGTATACCTTCAACTGTGCTACTTCCGACATAAGTCGAGCCAACAACTCGGCTTTCGATAACTCCAGCTTCGGCACCGTAACAGTCTTTAAAGGCGCAACTCGGGACTTCGAATAGAGTAAAAAGCTTGCAGATCCTGCGCCCTTGGACTCGACATAAACGCAAGCCTTATAGGCCTTAATGCTGGCGTGGCAGAATCCATGGATCGTCACCTCGGATTTCAATGTTAGCGCCCATCTAGGGAATTCGGCGAGTTGCGTGTTAAAAAAGCTGCTACAAATTATATTCCAGCCGCAGTGAAGAGCTTGAGGAAGACTTTCATCTCAGGACCACTTCTCACGACACTGCTTCTGGAGAAAGATATTAGCCTTTGAAATTACAGGATCGACAAGGCCTAATGGGTCAAAAAGCCGAGCGACTGAAGAAAGAACGATGCACCTAGTGGGCTTTGAAGTTAACTGAATCCCTTCAAAAGAAAACAGCAAGTGGGCAGTTGCATGATCTCAGGTAAGACCCAGTGTCTCTGTGAAATTGCTGCCATAATCGAACGTTAGGAAAGACTCCCGATCTTCTTCAGGCACCTTATCCAGCACGTCAGAAACATTGGAGCACCACTTCATTAACACAAATTGGCCTGTGGCAAGGATCCCGAATGTTTGCTGCATTATGCTAAAAGCTTCATCTATAAATTCGCCTCCGGAAAGTAGATCATCCACATAAAAGTCGCGATGCAGAATTTCGGCCCCCATTGAAAACATTAATTGCCCATCCACTGACAACTGATGCATTGTCCGGACTGCTAAAAATGAGACAGGCTTCGTTCCATAGGTGACAGTATTAAAACCAGCTTAAAAACCTGTAATTCATCCTGGGGGCCGCCAAAAAATTCACTGAAGATAGCTGTCCTCAGTAAAAACGCTGACGGAACGATACATTTTGCAAATATCTCCAGTAATGGCCACCCGATGGCATCGGAACCTTAATGCAATAATTTTGACTGAATAATTGCGCCAGACATCAACACGTCATTCAATGAATATCTAGAAGTGGTGACAGAAGATCCATCAAAAACAACCATGATCTTGGTTGTTGAACTGTCCTCCTTTAAAACGCAATGGTGTGGCAGAAAGTACTGGCTAATGACGCTCGCCACTCCAAATACTCCTTTATAAAGGCAGCATATTGCTCCTTCAATTGGGGACGGCGACAGAGCTTTCTTTCGAGGGAGAGAAATCGTCGAACGGCTTGAGAGTAAGGTTCTCCCAGCAACTTAGAACCACATTTCAACGGAAGCCTCACAGCGTAAACGACGGAATCCAGCCGAGCAACATGTCTAGCTCCTCCTTAGTCCGCTTCACAATAGGCTCGGAGCAGTCTTCGATTTCCCAGAACCGGCGGAGTAGAATCCAACTTATCATCCAGCATAGTTGCGCTCTTCGGAACATCCTTGTGGGCAGTGGAAACGAGTGATCTTCTCTGGACATGTGAACCGCCTTCACACACGACCCATACAAGTCGGGTTTTCTTCAGCAACGGCAGGCCGGCTGAGAGATTAATTTGTCCAACACACAGCAGCTCATAAAAAAGACTGCCTCGGATAAGAAGATCGATGCGCTGTGGAAGGTAAAATTGAGGTTCAGCCAAAGAAAGATTGACAGGAATATTGCAACTGGAATTATCCAAACTGAAGCTAGGGTGCAGGTCCGTGATATTGGTGGCGATGACGGCGTTAACCAAGGCCGAGTATTTGGAAAGGTGGGACTGCAGCAGAACATCAAGAGAATCTGTCTCAAAGCCGGTATCGCCAATACCAAACACCGCCATGAATGATTCGGCGTAAAGGCTACAGGCTCGGCGCACTCGGCCATGGCTGACGTGGGAGGACCAACAAATGTCTGGCCGCTAGAAGCCTGCGGTTCCAGAAAATGTAGCAGGCTGTGATACCTCCTTCCACAACTGCGACAATTAGCAACGAGGCACTCATGCATGTAATGGCCCGTTTGTAGACACTACCGACAAAGACCGAGTCGCCTGGCCTCACCAAGGCGGATATCAGGGGGTATTGATAGAAATCCGGGGCATGCAGTCATTATATGAGACCATCCCCCACATAAAGTACAGGCAGAGCGAAGCGAATTAGTAACAATAAAGGATGATCTACTGTTGTTTGCACCTCGACGCCTTTCCAAGGGAGCGCCCGTATGTATGTAGACATGGCCACGTCCATAGCCCCCAGCGTCCTACATCGCTGCTTCAAAAATTCGGCCATCGACTCCCAAGTAGAGATGGCGTCTGAACCTGAGGAGTTTTGACTCTCCTCCCACTTAGCCTGGGTAGCTAGGTAGCAAATTCTTTAAGGCTCGCATATGGGCAATGAATTTGTCCGAAAGACCTCGAAGAGCTGCTATTGAGCCACTTTCCAACAGAGCCCCAGAATCTCGTTCACGTGTGCCTGAAATATTAAGCGACGGTTATAAAATCATTTCTCCAATAAATTCAGCGCGACATCATAATTCTCGTCGGAGACTTCCAAGGAACGAACTGCTTCGAAAGCGGACTCCCGAAGGCAAGATCGTAACCTTTACAGCTTTACCACCTTACTATTACGAGGATTGCTGCCGACGATTGTAGAGCACATCGAGTAAAATTCAGCCCATTCCGAGCACTTGGGTTGTGGAACGGAATGCACTTGCGTTGTGGAACGTAAGTATGTATACCGATGCACTTACGAAGTGCCGTTTATGTTTATATCTGTATTTATGTATAATATATTATATATTATATTATGTTTATATATAAATATATTAACGATTATATTAACGAGTAATTTGTTTATATATAAATATATTAAGGTTCACTAAAACAAAAACAAAACAATTTACTAAACGGTGTTTTGTGAACAATTTTCATACGTGGAAAATACGCTAATAAGGAAACAGTTTGTTTATAATAATAAACAAATTATCTATATATATAAAATTTTTGTGTCACAGTTTTTGTAACCATACTCCTCCGAAACGGCTATACCGATTCTCATGAAAATTTGTGAGCGTATTGAGCAGATGCTCGCTAGCTTTAGATGCCGAATTAGTTAAAGCCAAGCGGCCGAAAGGGAGTCGGCTTGCGAACAACAATACTTAAGTTAATAATTAATTATTTAAACTAGTTGCTAGCTGCTTGACCCGACACGTGTTTTTGAAAACAGAATGTTGAAACTTCGTACAGATTATATTGGTCAGTTTATCCGACCCATAAAATTTCATTACGATCGGGCGACTATATCTTAGAGCTGCCTTTTAACTGAACGATCGGGAATGGTATTTGGTAAAATACCAACTTTTGTATTTTTGAAGATAAAATCTTGGGACGTTTATTTTAGATTTTTTTATTGTAATAAATTGGTTTTATTATAATATTCTCATAAGGATCGGCAACTATATCCGATATTTCGGCATATATCCGGTTTTACCTGCAACGTTATTTCGATTTCGGGCTCAGCCGAAGGCTTCCTTCTTCGCTCTTAATTAGCTTTCATTTCTTGTTAGAAATCAAACATAATTTGGTTTTATATTATAACGGCAAACCTAAAATTTAATTTACTAATACGGTCTAAACTTTTTGTACACCTAAAATTGGCATAACAAAATATTTCTTTTATCAACTTTATCGTAAAATTAATGATATTTTATTTGATCGATCAATTTTGCTCGATTTTCGAAAAAAAAAATAAATTTTTCTCTTTCGATTAGAACGAAAAATCAAACATCATGTCACTTCATGTTCTTTTACTTTCAAATGTACATAGAAATATTTTTTAAAATTCTTATTATAAAATTTTTTTAAATGTTAAATTCCATTTCCAAATGGCTATGGTAAAGCAGAAAAAGCAAATTCGGACGTTTGAATTTTAAAATTTGAATTTTTACCGGAATAAGCGCGCAAAAATGTTTTTTTTTAACAATAAATCAAAATTTTTTGAGTGTTGTAAATATTTTAAGCCCGGGTTTTGGTTTTTATTCGACCAGATAAACAATTCCTTCTATGTGACTATGTCACCATCTTAGTTTCTTCAGCTTTGTATTAATGACCTTTGTAATTGACACTTTCTGTGTTTGGAAGGTTAGCCGCTTCTGTAAATAAGCCCCGAGGTACTTGTAACCTAGCCTTCTTTAGTCTTCGTAGCCTTCTTTTTTATAGAAGGCTAGACAGCGAGAGCAGGTGGTACTCTACTCCGGCGGTCGCCTTTTTGAAATGTTTCTGGAAGAGACAACAAGAGCAGTAAGAGTTACAACTATCCGGTTTTTAATGGTATCTAAGAAGATAAAATTTGTGCCAAAATGTTGCCACGCCGATTCCAGCGCCCAAAATTAAAAGCGACAGGTCATTAAAGTTTTCGGGAAATACTTTTATGCCAAACTAATCATCTAAAAGTCAATAGTCAGACAAATCAAATTTTTAATGGTGTTATGAACTTTTTATTCGGTCTTTTTACTGGATTTCTCCAGTAAATGCTCACCAGCATACATTTTTTGTATCCTGTTTAATATTTAGAAATCAAATGCGTTATATTTGGCGTATACCCAAAATTGGCATACAAAAATATTTCGTAAAGTATTTCGAAAGAAAAACTTTATCGTAAAATTTATGATATTTTATCAGAATTTATTGAAGTCATAAGAAATCTTAGGTATTTTTTAAATGATATATATTTCTTAAAAAAATAGTCAAAAAAGGACCTACCATTTACGAAGTAGGAATAACTTTTGTGCAAATAGGCCAACTATAACCACCATTGAATTTAAAAAAAAATTAATATGTTTGAAATCAAAATAAAATGAAATGAAATCAAAGAATGTTAGTATATTTTTTTATTTCTTCTCCAAAAAATGTTTTAAATTTGCTCCATTTTCGAAAAAAAAAAATTTAATTTTTCTCTTCCACTCAGAACGCAAAATAAAACATCATGGCGCTAGATTTTCTTTTTCTTTCGAATGTACATAGGAATATTTTTTAAAATTGTAATTATTATAAAATTTTTTTAAATGTTAAATTCCATTTCCACATTGCAATATGGTAAAGCAGACGTAGCAAACACGGACCGGTTTGTTTATGCCAAATTTCAGAATTGGAACGTCATTATTTGAACATTTAAAACAAAGAACTCGTCCACAATGTCGGCTTTGTAAAAAAAATTTGGTTAGAATATAAAATCGGGAGATATAAAATGGATTTAATACGTACCAATGGTGTTTTCTCATGGTAATTGTAAATTTTACAGTACATTCTTGGCATACATCGGACTCTGACCAGGGTGATTCTTGCGGCAACTGATCCAGTAATTTATGGAGCAGTTGGTTTGTGGCAAGCTTGAAGTTAAAAATATTAATTCCATTCTTGTTTTCAGTGCCTAAACAAGCGCCTGCTTTCACAAGAACTTTACAAAGTGGTGACTGCCCACGCATAAAAGAGAGAAGTAACGGCGTATTTCCATCCATATCAGGAGTGTTGATTGGATATTTAGGCATACACTCGAGAAATAACTCGCAAATGGTAGCAGCAGTATTGTCCTCAACAACACGACATAATTCATGCATAGGATTCCGACCTTTAAAATTCATAGCTTCCGCGTTTACTGTTGATTCTGTTAAGAGTTCCCGCACAATTAAAAACTGCCCATTACGAACAGCAAGATGTAAAGCATTATTTCCGTCAACGTCGATTGCGTCGAAATCAGCATTATTTTGGATTAAGGCAGACACAGCGGAAAGATTTCCCAGCTCAATAGCTGTATGGAGGGGAATTTTTTGTAGTGCATCCCTTTCGTTTATTCGGGCACCAGCTAAAATTAAGTTTCTAGTGATCATTTCATTTTGGGATGCAGCAGCCAAATGTAGTGGCGTAGATTGGTTGGCATCGTGTACACGAGAGTTTACGTCGACCTGCACTGATATTAAAAAAAGTACACTTTCTAAATCATCTTTAGCTATAGCTAAATGCAAGAAGTTACGTCCCCTTTGATCCATTTGCTCAGCTGCGGATGGAAGTCTATCCAAAATGCGTTGTGCCGCCTTGTGGTTACGCACTTCTAAGGCAGTTGTAAAGCAGGTATTTCCAGATATATCTCGTAATTTTAAGTCTATGACCGGATGACAAAGAAGAATAGTTATTATTTCATCGTAATTGTTAACAATTGCTATATGGAGGGGAGTTTTTTTATCAGAATCTTGCGAGTTCACATTAGCGCCATGATCAATTAAGGTTTGGAGTACTTTGGTAAGACCCCACCGACAACACAAATGCAATGGGGAAGATTTATCATGTCCATTTCCTGCACCTTCATCGTTTGTGCCTGGTTGCCGTGCAGAGTCCAAGTCACATTGGCTTTCAATCAGAAATATAGCAACAAATTCTTTTCGTTCCTCTATTGCGCGATGTAGAAGTGTTTGCATGCATCCATTCGGCCCAATGTCCCAACAGTCAGTATCAACGCCGTGCTTTACAAGTATCTGCGCCTCAACTTCGTATCCTAATTTTAAAGCAGTCCACAATGGTGAAACTCCATTATTATCAAACGAACTTAGTGCGGCTCCAATTATGCAAAGGGCTTCTACCACTCTAGGTAGATTTAATTCAATTGCCATAATCAATGAAGAGGTCTGTTCACCTAATAAATACATATATAAGAGATACACCTAATATACGCTTCAATATATCTTACCTTTTGCTGAGGTATAGTCGGCACCTTTTTCAAGTAAATAAACCGCAGTATCTTCATCTCGTTTTGAAATGGATTGATGCAATAGACTTAAGTTATCTGAATTTCTAAAGTTAATGTCCGCACCACCCCGAATCAAAATAGGTACTAAATGCGTTTTATTTTGGGATAAACAAAAGCTTAAGGGCGAGTCTCCATTGCAATCTTGACAGTTAAAATCTATCATGGTGTTAACGGAATTTTTTAACTCAACAAAAGCTTCCAATGTATCAACAGAATTAGCGTCAACTGCCATATGTACGGGTGATCTCAACCATTCATTATTCGATAATAGATTGCATGATGCCCCTTTTATCAGCAACTTCCTAACTAACTTTGATAAATTTTTTGAAGCTGCTATATGTAATGCTGTCAATCCTAGAAAATTTGTGTGATCCAGATTTGAAAAGTCCGCCAGGAAAATTGCTGCCTCCTCAAAATGTTCACCCCCTATTGTAAGCACCTGGAGTAAACTATCTCCTGTTGATGATTTAACAACATTGGGATCTGCCCCAAAATGAATAAGATTTGAGGCGATCGTAAAGTCAAGTAATTCCGATGTTAAACTTAGCTCCAAAGCAGACTTTCCCTCAAAAGTTTGTAAATTAATGTCAATATTAGGTACTTTAAGAAGTTGATGCACCATTTCCTTATTGTCACTATTGACGGCAATGTGCAAAGGTGATTCTCCTTTGACATTTTGAATGTTTACATTGGGGTTTCTCTCTAGAATTTGTTCTCCTATTTTAACAATTTCTTTCCAATTTTCATTTCTGCAATTATAGTTGCAAATTATGTGTAAAGCTGTATCTGATGAAGATCTATATAAAAAAGAAAACAATGTGAAAACATTCTGAATTGTATTACTAATTACAAAAATTTTACTTACCTTGACATAAGGTCTAATAGACAATTTTTATTTAACAAAAAGTTTACTGAAAAAACGTCACAATTTCTAAGTGCCCATATTACCAGCGGTGATCCCTGTTAAAAGTTTGTAAATATGTATTTATTTTTTAGTTTATCAAATTCAAAACAATTCCAAAATAATCAACCACAAAGGCTTCTTTGTAAGAAAATACTTTTGCCTTATTTTTTTAGTGGATGTTCATACCTCTTTGTCGAGCGCGTTTATATCCGCCCTTCCATTTTCAACAAGTGTTTGAGCAATTTTTATGTTTTTTGCCAATAAAGCCATTTGTAAAGGTAAAAGTCCGTTTTCTGAATAAATATTTACAAAGTCTGAAACCTAAAAAAAATATATATATTACTGAAAGAATAAATCATTTAATAATAATTGATAATAATTTTCAATATCAGTAATGATTAAGTAAACGTTCCAAAAATAACAATTTTTAAAATTTCTTATTTTAAAAGTTAACTATTAGTTTTCTTATACCCTTGCGATAACAATAAAGTATTAGAATTAAAACTATTTGAAAAGTCCGCCAGGAAAATTGCTGCGTCCTCAAAATGTTCACCCCCTATTGTAAGCACCTGGAGTAAACTATCTCCTGTTGATGATTTAACAACATTGGGATCTGCCCCAAAATGAATAAGATTTGAGGCGATCGTAAAGTCAAGTAATTCCGATGTTAAACTTAGATCCATGATCTTATACCTGTCATATAAAAGATCTAGTTTAAAGGAAATGCCGTTATTGAGTTGAACCGCAAGACGATGGAAGGCAATGTTGCTGACGAAAGTTAATTTTGTTTCGTTTATATTGTGCTATAATGTGATTGATTGATTAGGTAAATGATGTCCAATATTATATTATATTATATTTAATATTATATTGAATTTCTGTGTATTTATGTAACATAGATATGGAATCATGTCCGTCTGTCTATATGAATGCGTAGATCTCAGAGACTTAAAGCCATTGGTAGGAAAAACGGACTCATGTTTAAAATTTTAGTATGCGCGTAATCAGCAAAAAACAATGCGGGCAGAGCATTCACTAAACAAAATAAACGTTTTTTATTTCGTTTTTCGTTAATTCAAAAGTTTGAATGGGCCCTTAAAAAGTTTATTTTAACATTAGAAAAGCTTTTCTAGCAATTTCTTAAACAATTGAAAAACTACGCTTCCCTATCTATGTATATTTTCTACTGAGAAAACTTGTTCCAACCATATTTCTGAGAACATTTTTCTTATTGAAAATAAAAATATTTTTTGTTTATGTTTGGTCTGTTAAATGAGTCAAAATCATAGCAAAAAAGAAATATTTTAAAAAATGTGAGGGTGTTTACACTGCACTATGGGAGTAAAGTCCCAAATTGTGGCATTTTTACCATTTACCGATTGAAGATAAAAACGCAGCCGCTCATATCTCTGGCCACCCCAAAGGCTAGAACTGAGAACAATTCGCCGTCCGAATTTCTCAGTACAAATGAGCAATTGTCCCACATGTCCTCCGTGGCATCCCTTCAAGTGATACCACAGGACCTAGTGAACGAAACCCTTGTAAGAGTCATTCAACAGGGTATTCGCATTCCGGACCACCGGAACCGACTGATGCAGTTTTCGTACCTGCGGCACCAAAACCCTTACAGGTGATTCCTCCATCGAAACAGAGATTGATATCTCGGCTTATATCAAAGCCGAAACTAAAGCCGATATAAAGGTGGACGACATTAGTAAATACAAATATAATTACAAAAGGCGCATGTCTTCTTTCAAGATTCGTGTGCTCGCGCTGATGTTCAAGACGATTTGTTCACCTATGTCGACCTTTCAGAATTTAAGGGGGCTACGTAGCAAACTCCCTAAACTTTATTCTGATAGTTCTCTCTGTGCATCCCATATTATAGCCATTATAGAAACTTGGTTAAATGTTAAAGCCGGAGATCTTTAGCTCTGGGTGACTTTAATATCCCAGAACTAAAGTGGTCCAAAGTCGATAACTCACCATCTTTATCACTTATCACGCACATTGACTTCACCGCGGGCATGTTTGACATGTCCCTAGATCACATTTAGGCTTTTAGGGGAAAGGGCTTAGGGCCTTTAGACTTATGTTTAGTATCCGACCCTGATGGTACCACTATTTCCACAGCTTAGCCCTTTCAACCCCAGGGGATCCATATCGCCCCACTCTTGAGGTTTCAATCGAAACCATTTCTGGTATCGATCAGAAGTTTCCATGTGTGCCAAATAAGAGTCGCTCTTTCCGTAAAGCTGATTTTCACAAACTCAATAGCCTTATTAAGTTCATTGGCTACATTCGATTGGTCAGATATTCTGGCATTCACCGATTTAAATTTCACCTTAGAAAACTTTTACCATACTTTTAATTCATTTATTAACTCATGTGTGCCATGCAAATATCCGTCCGCTTCAACAAATCCTCCTTGGATTACAAGGAGGCACCACGAACTTAAAAAATAATAAAAATAGGCTCTTACTTAAATATGTAAAACCTGCAGTAGAATAGATTTTTCAAGATATCTACTAACTCGGTCAAATTTTACCGTGCATAACGCTGAGTGTTACAAGAATTATATTCGTCGCTGCCGGATACAATTTACTCAGGGTCCGAAGCAGTTTTATAATTTTGTAAACACAAAGCGTAAACAAAGCGGAATCGTAATCGAACTACCGAACTGAGCGGACGTGCTTTGTCCGAGCTCCGGGAAAACTTCACTTCGCTTATATTTTCGCCAATATAAGCGAAAAGACACTGAAATACAATTTATTAAAAGCGACAGACAAGCTTTTTTTCATAACAGTTGTAATGTGCTAAACCAAAGTGCATTGTTGAAAAAAAAAACAAGAAAGGAAAGCTAATTTCGGGCGGAGCCGAGTTTATATACCCTTGCAGTTAAAACCGGATGAATATCGCAAACATCGGATATAGTTGGCCGATCCTTATGGCAATAGGAATATATAATCCAATTTTTTACAATACAAAATCTAAAAAAAATCCCAAACTTCTATCTTCAAAAATACGAAAGTTGATATTTCTACCAAGTACCATTTCCGATCGTTGTATATGGCAGCTATAGGATATAGTCGGCCGATCCTAATGAAATTTGGTAGGTCGGATCAACTGACCAAATATATAATCTGTACCAAGTTCCAGCTTTCTATCTTCAAAAACACGAGTTGGGTCAAAGTTGGGTCATTTCCGATCAATCAGTTATATGGCAGCTATAGGATATAGTCGGCCGATCCATGCCGTTCCGACTTATATACTGCGTGCAAAGGAAAGAAGGGTGTGTGCAAAGTTTCAAGACGATAGCTTTAAAACTGAGAGACTAGTTTGCGTAGAAACAGACAGACGGACAGACAGACGGACAGACGGACATGCTCATATCAACTCAGGAGGTGATCCTGATCAAGAATATATATACTTTATAGGGTCGGAGATGTCTCCTTCACTGCGTTGCACACTTTTGACCAAAATTATAATACCCTCTGCAAGGGTATAAAAATACGTACCACGCAATGAGCTCATTGAGCAACGACCAAAAGAACGACCGTAGAAGTTCAGTGAACCAAAGAAACGGCTTCTACTCTTACTTTTTAACCCGCGATACCGAAGTGGAAAAATCGGCGCTTAAAAGCAACCCGGCTTTACTGACCGCTGAAACTCAAAGGGCACGGTCTTGCTCACCCGCTCTGCTCACTCCGACTCCCGCGTCATGGAGTTCGCAGTGTAAAACCCCCCCTCCAATATAGGAAACAAATTTCGCACCAACAACAAGCAGCGCTACAACTTCTGCAACAACAGCGAAAACCCCTGCAACTCAAAGTACCACGACGTCAACGACTACAGCGAGTACAAAAACAACAACCTCGGAAATCGCCAAAGCGGCAACGGCCACACAGACTGGAATGGATCGCTACATCCAAATTAAGCGCAAGCTTAGCCCGCAGAGTAATCCGACAGGCAACAAAACAAAAATTAACCGTGTCCTGAATAACGATAATGAACCAGACAGATCCACTACTAACAGATTTGCCCTACTGGCGGAGGCTGAGGAAAACCAACCAGCCCAAGACACCGCAAAAAAACCCAAGCCCCCTCCAATCTATATTAGGGAAAAAAGCTCGAGTGCCCTGGTCAACAAAATTGCGTCGTTGATCGGGAACGGTGAAAACTTTCATGTTGTTCCGCTTATCAAAGGGAACATCCATGAAACAAAGGTGCAAACCAAGACTGAAGAGCACTTCCGAATAGTGTCAAAATATCTGGACACTGTACAGAAAAACTATTACACGTACCAGCTGAAAAGCAGTAAGGGCCTACAAGTGGTAGTAAAGGGAATAGAACCTGATGTTACCGCCGAGGAAATAAAAACCGCCCTTAAAGAAAAGGGCTTCGCCGCCAAGAATGTTATTAACATTCTAAATAAAGATAAAAAGCCACAACCCCTCTTCAAGGTCGAGCTCGAGCCTGAAAGCAGGTCGCTGAAGAAGAACGAAGTCCACCCAATCTACAACCTACAATATCTTTTGCATCGGAAAATCACTGTTGAAGAGCCACATAAACGTAACGGTCCAGTGCAATGCACTAATTGTCAAGAGTATGGACACACAAGGTCTTACTGCACACTTCGGGCTGTCTGTGTAGTCTGCGGGGACGCCCACAAGTCCGCTTGCTCCTTACAAACAAACAAGGTCCTTACAAACAAGGACAGTACCGTGAAGAAATGTGGAAACTGCGGAGGCAGCCATACGGCAAACTATAGAGGATGTATTGTGTATAAGGAGTTAAAGAGTCGCATGCGTCAAGCGACCGTAACGCGCAACCAAAATCCACAGAATGCGTACGTTTCGTCAAAAACCACGCCAGACGTCTTCTTCGCCAAAGCTGCGAGATCCTCATTCGGTCCACTAAACACCACCAACGGCTTCTCCTATGCCGATGCTCTACGATCTGGAAGGGAAATTCCAATTCAGCCTAACTCTCAAAGCGCTCAACAGGCCCCAGAACAGCCACACAGCAAAACGGAAACTATGATGTACCACGCAATGAGCTCATTGAGCAACGACCAAAAGAACGAGCGTAGAAGTTCAGTGAACCAAAGAAACGGCTTCTACTCTTACTTTTCAACCCGCGATACCGAAGTGGAAAAATCGGCGCTTAAAAGCAACCCGGCTTTACTGACCGCTGAAACTCAAAGGGCACGGTCTTGCTCACCCGCTCTGCTCACTCCGACTCCCGCGTCATGGAGTTCGCAGTGTAAAACCCCCCCTCCAATATAGGAAACAAATTTCGCACCAACAACAAGCAGCGCT